TTTCGTCGCAACTTGTGGTCGTTAAGACCACATTTTCTTGTAGTGTGGTGACCGTAGATACCGAGTGTTGAGTATCGATCCACAGAACCTGCAGAGTCAGTGGCTTCGTGTGAATCTTATAACATCGGTTGACGGAGAGACAGAATCGTCGATCGATGGCGTCCTACAACCGAACCAGCCCATTTACCGAAAATCAACGCAAGTTTTCTGGTTAAGAATCCCACTACAGACACTTCTGAGAAGAACACAGACACATCAGAGCCAATGATGGTTGATAAGGCAACATAAAGAAACTCCAGAAGGAAACATGATATTCCCAGACATCTGCGCAGAGAAGCAAAAGAATAAGAGATGGATGGCTTTGCCAAAAGAGTTTTTTTTAATTCCTTTAGAGACTCCATTTGATAAAGCTTATTATACTCATAGATTGTGGATGTTTGTCAGGGAAATCAACGAAACAGATGAGGAAATAGAGAGAATATTCAACCACCTCAGAGAGAAGTTGAAGCAGAGGATCAATCTCAAGAAGAAAAGTGATCCTGGGAAGTTTGTGATTCCATGCTTCATCAAAGGGCATGAATATCCCAATGCCCTCTGCGATATTGGATCACTAGTGAACATCATGACTAGATCTATTGCAGAGAAGTTGAACATGAAAGTGGAGCCTTCTAGTGATTCTTTCACCTTTGTGGATTGCTCCAAAGTGAATTCAGGAGGGATAGTCAGAGATGTCCCACTGCAGATTTGTAATGCCTTAGTCCCAGTAGACTTCCACGTGATGGACTTCCAGATTGATTGGAATTCTTCTCTATTACTTGGGAGAGCTTCCATTGCTACATTGGGAGCTGTATGCGGTATGATGACAAACATGTTGTATCTTTCCTTGATTGATCATCACAATTATTATGAATCTGTTAAAGTTAAGAATAAATGTGCACTCATCGAATTGGGGAATGATTCAGGTCTCATTGCCACATGTTTCTACAATTTCGAGCAGAAAGAGAAGTCGGATGATGGAGCATCGATCGACACCCAGCCCATACAATCAATCGACTGTTATTCAGTTCAGGAATCGATCGACATCCACCCTTCAGAATCGATCGCACTCACCATCCATATTCAGGTTACGATCCGGCTTACAACGAGAATGATGAAGACTCCCACGACGAAGAAAACATTAAGTACCGTGGTCTCGATTTGGAACTAGCTGGCATTTTTCTAGTTTCCCATGAAACCAGAAATGAGACATCAATCAATACACAGCCCACACCAACGATCAGTGAGTCTCCTAAACTAGGGCACAATACGGTTTCTCCGAACTTCAATGAGCTCAATCTGGACGAACTTGACTACCGTGGTTTCGCAGTGGAAGAACCTGACTATTACATAAGACCGTAAAGAACATGAAAGAAAACATCGATCGATGGTCACCTTGTACCATGATTGGCACTGGACACAAAGAAGAACCCGGACCAGATTCAAAAGCAGAACTTGATAGTTATGGTTATCTACGACCAGGTGAGTTTGGTATACTGAGAGATCTAGAAGGTTATGAAAGATCTATGGATGGAAGAATTCTACAGGTCTTTAGAGAAGATGTGGCAGATAGTCTTGCAATGGCTAATCGAGCAGTAAACCTCTTCAGTCAGCAACATGAAAACCATGCAGGCAACCGAGCATTGATCGGCATGTTATTTTTTGTATCGGTAGACGGTATTATTGAACATGGTTACAGAGCCTATGATGACAATGGCTAAAGGAGATTTAGTTGGGAAAAGAGAGATGAATATGACATCTACAAAGATGAGAATGACAATGCATGAGCTATGGATGGTAGAATCGTTAATGTGTTAAAGGATGACATTAGAGAAATTCTAGAAAGAGATGCAATGATTGACTACTCCAACATTCGTCTACAAGAATATGCAGAGTATCTTGACAGAATCTCACCAAATACATTAGCATACATCATAGTAGAAGTTGACAACATGGTACAAGGAATCTACAGATCCCAAGAGATGTTAATAGACTATTACAAGAGGCTCGATGATCTTTACTACATGTTCAACAGCAATATTGGCTGATTAACCACGTGCATGGAGGAAATGAAAAAAAAAATATGGAGGAGACTCATCAGATCATTCAGAAACAACAACCGAATGGAGCAGCACATCCGGCATTGATCAATGGACAAACTATGCCATCGATCGACAGTCAACACGCGTCATCCAACGAAAGACTGGTAACAGAATTCTAACAAGAAAATCTTGATGACATTCAGCTTTCTCTAGACTTGATGAAGGAAGATACGTCCAGGAGCTTGGATGACATCTCAGAGACAACATATGCTAGAGTTGGAATGATTCAGACAGGTATTCAATGCCTTCAGGGAAGGATGAGTGCAACAAATACTGCTGTGGAGAAGTTGAAAGACCATGAGATCCAAAGGTTAATTAATGACAGAGCATCGATCGACGCTCATTATTGACCATTGATCGACGCACCACCCAGATTTCACCTGGTCAACATTAACGTGCTTGAGGAAAAGTTTGGTGAAGTCTATACAGCCCAGAACATGATAAGTTTTTTCAAAAGAGGTATTGATAACCTTGAGGAAATAATGAGTAAAGTTGAGGCAATTGGAAAAGAAAAGAGAACCAAAGGTAAAAAGGCAATCAGAAGTTTTGTTAGTACATGGTTCCAGATGAGCAGAGAAGATGGGGACGCATGTTTTCCAAGAAGTGATGCTCCAGCACCATCTTAGTCCAAAAATATCTTAAACATGAAGCTAAAGACTATAACCAAGCGCTGAGTGGAAGACAACCCACTGTTAAATAAGTTTTTATGGTTTTTACTTATGCTAGTTTTTCATTTTGGTTTTTATTATATTTGAAGGTCTATAAGAGGAGAAGTGGATTGTTCGAGATCACCATCAGTCGACTATACCAGCTCACCATTGGTCGACATTCCCATCACACTATCGATCGACACTCCTTTTGGAGTTTAGTAAACTCAACTTTCTCTACCAAATTTCCTTATGATTTAGTTTTCCCTAACCAAACCAGGATGGGATAACATTAGGGACAATGTTATTTAAGTCTCAGGGAGGTTCAATGATGCTTTTTATTTATTGTGAATTTTTTATTTTTTATATTTATCTATTATATCTATAAGTTTTTCAATTTTTTTATTAAGCCAAGAAGGAGATTATGATCAAACTTTAATCTATTGACTAACCATACTATTAGCACCATTCTTAGGACTGTTGATTGCAGACATTACTAGAGATACCAAAGTGAATCATCCTGCCATTAGACTACATTTGCTTAGAAAGTTTGAAGGAACTGAAGCTGACTTCCAACCTAATTTTGACATTATTTACTTGCTTTGAGGCTTGGTATACACTAGATCGGATTCTTCCTGCAAGTTCGGAAGGTAAAAATTTGTGTGTTGCTGGTTCCCTTCTCTCTCTCTCTCTCTCTCTCTCTCTCTCTCTCTCTCTCTCTCTCTCTCTCTCTCTCTCTCTCTCTCTCTCTCGTCGGCATCTATAAAAGAAAATATTGAAATGATTTCTTTCGGTTTAGAGGGGTAGGAATGTCTCTTACGTCCCATTATTCTACTCTAATGGAATGATCACACATCGTTGGAAGCGAAGGGTAGGAGTGTCTCTTTTGACGCTATTATTTGCCTCCACTTTGTCAAAAAGGAGAGAAAGTTTATTGAAATGAAATCAAATAAGACGAACACTGTTCATTAGAATTGAGTTAAAAGGATTCAGAGTAGAGGGAAGAAAGGGACCAGAGAAGACGACCTGTGTGTTTAGATACTTGCAGGGGTAAGAGTCCAAGTATCCTTTGATCGAAACTCCCAAGGTAAAGCATGCGCTTTATTTTTATGTAAGACATGAGGTCAGTAGAGGAGTGAGTCAGACTAGTATTTGCTAAGTTGTTGGTAGAATGAATTTGGTTGTTATACTAGGATAATGCATATAAAATTTTTCTGAAATTGACATAATTGGATGTGGTTGCAGCATATTAGGGGTGATAATAATACTTTAGATATTATGTGAGTCCCCGCTTTTCAACCTCTTTCATAGGCTACCATTGTTTTACTTGAGGTCAAACAAAATGTTAAGTCTGAAGGAGTTGATATACCTTATTATTTACCAATTTAGACCTTGTTATGGACTTCATTTGGAGTCTATTATTTGTGTCTAGACTATGTTTTAGAGTCTTTACATGTCTAGATACGTTTTAGAATTTTGTGGAGCATATGGAGCATTTTGCCTGAAGAAATCCATAGCTGAAAAGAATCAGCTAAGTCAGAGTCGATACACAAGATTGGCGTCTATCGACGATTGAAGTGCACATATCCGACTTTGTTCAGAAGTGACTTAAAGCCCAAGTTTCACATAATTACAAGATTACACTTGGACGAATTTTAAACTAATTTATAAAGGTTTCTGGCATTGTTAGGCAGAAGACCGCACTTTTGTCTTCTAGAGTTTTTCTTATTGTTTTAGGGATAAAGATCAAAACTTCTTCATAGTTTTTTATTCGAACTCCCCGAGTATTATTTAGGTATTCTATTCAG